AAAAAGGATACCTGTTTCTCTTATAAAATTACTTTTGTAGCAGACACGCTACATATGAGGCTGCATCTCACCTGGTTCTCACTATTGGGAGCAGATGGGATTCTCCCCTCTTCACAGGGGATGAAGCTGAGGGCCACCTTGTAGAAAGGCTAAGTCACAACCATCAAAGGGCCCCTGTGAAGATAGTCCCCAGAGAGGAAGGGTCCCTGTGGCGATGTGCTCCTGGCAGTGGGCTTCTAAGGGCTTTTGTGGGGAACAGTCTCTGCAGGGAAGGGTCCCTTTGGAGAAAGGTCCCTGTGGGAAAATGCCCCTGTGGGGAGGATTCCCCGTGGAAAGGGCCTCTGTTGGGAAGGGTCCCTGGGGAGATAGTCAGTCAAACTGGGCTTCATACTCCAACTTTCACGACAAATTGGTTTCCCCTTCTATGCCTGCATGCCCATCACAAGAAAAGCTATTTTGATCCCCTAGATTTGGGGATAGCTTTCTGAAACCCCCATCCTGGATGTTCAGTGGTTCCCAGGCCCATCTCCTCCCCCAGATGGCAAGAAGGAAGCCTTCAGAGGATCAGAGAGGGAGGATCAGGGAGGCAGAGACTGGAAATCTCTGGACCGGCCAGGGGGAGAAGGGACCTCACTCCCTTTTGCTTGCACATCTCTCTCAGGAACATGAAGATCTGGGCGGCTTTACCAAATCCAGAGAGCACGTCCCTCTTTTCCCACGTACAGCTGGGTTCTAAATCCAGCACTGATGCTGCCTGTTTGAGTTTGAGTTTAGATCAACCAGCAAAGCTCTCTAGGCCCTCACCTTTTCACCTCTAAATTTGAATGGGTAATCCCTAACCCCCAGGGGGAGTGGGCATCCACCATAATAGTTCTTAACTTGGGCTGGACATAATTATCCTGGGTGGGGGTGGGGGGGAGGGTGGGGGGGGGCGAGATTTCATTCATACTGATGCTGGTTCCCACCCCCAGAGAGTCTGACCCCAATTGCTCTTGGATGTGGCCTGGTTGTTAGGGTTTTCAGAAGCTCCTGAGGTGATTCTAAAATGCAGTCCAGAAAGGAGAAGAAAGTGAGTCTCTGCTATAATATGCAGCAGGTACTCAATACTGCCCCTTCTCCTACCCTTCCTGTTTCTTGATTGCTAATGGTTCATTCAAGATGTATTTTTGGAGACTTTGTCATTTCCCAGGGTGACTCAAAGTCTTTCCTTCTGCCACCCCCTTGGCTGTTCTCATATCGACAAGCTCTGCACTTTCAAAACAGATGACTCAATCCACAGCCAATCCGCTGGGCCCTTTCCCTAGCTGCTGTGGCTTCTCTTCTATTGATTGACTGGAGGCAATTGGATCAGACGCACAATGCCCTCTTGGAGATGCCAATTAGAACAGAGACCAGAGGGCTGTTGCTTGGCCACTCTCTCACCAGGAACTGCCATCCTTTGCCTTAGAGCCCCTTCCTGACAGGGTGCAAACACTCACATCATGAAATCCCAAATTCCCCCAGAGGGATTCTAAACAATAATGCATCTGCCACCTGTGTCTGTGGGAGAAACCTCCCCTCTGCCTTTGTGCAGTGCCCACCTCCATTCTTCACAGACCACTCCCCTGTCAGGAGATGCTCCATCAGCCAGTCACTCATTTCCAGCCACGCCTCCCCCAAAGACTCCATACTCCAACCTGCTGTGTGCCCCAAATGGTCTCCACGCCTCTGTGCTTTCACATATCTAGGCTCTTTGCCTTGCAGGCCCTTCCTCCCATGGTCCACCTGGAAGGCTTCCACTCACCATCACATGCCCATCTTCCACCATCCATCTCTGCAGCTTACCTAATCTGTCCTCCCAGGTCCCGCTGCAAACCCTGCTCCCTCCCTCCCTCCACCCCCTGGACGAATTTATTTGCTTCCCCTCCTATGTTCCCACCCCTCTGCCATCCTGGGATATATTATTGCCAGGAGACATTACACTAATGTAAGAGTTATATTGGTTAGAGGTTTTGTCATTTGTCTTCTTATAACCAATTCCTAGCCTCGACACAGGGCCTCAGCAGGGACAAACTCGGGGCTGTGGGGCTGATGCCTATATCTGTCTTCAATCTAGACCTGCACATTGCTGAAACACCTCCCCAAAATAGCCAAAATGGATCATCTCTGTCTTGATCGAGAAGCACATTAGGTATTTATCAGCTGTGATAAAACTTCAACCAAATAAAAGATTTTTTTTTTTTGGTCTGTATATGTATAGGTCTATAACAACAACAACAACAAAGAATAAAGACAGCATCGATCTGATCTGGCTCGAGAGATGTCCTATCTCGGAGAGTACCGACTAGATTTTACAAGAAAGGGAATTTGGCAGATGAGGGGATGAAAGGGTTTGGGGAGAGAATGCTTGGCTGTTCCATGTTTCTGGGATGGGGAGAATGGGCATCGGGGCTTGGGGCTCGAATGTCCGTTTTACCTTTTCTGGAGCCGGCAGCTGCAAGTGGTTCACCTCCAGGGGGGTGATGAGAGGGACGGTTTGGAAGCCATCCTCCACGCAAGGCGGCTTGGTTCCCTTCTCACTGGGGTTGGTGTTCGGCTTCACCATCCTTACGCCTTTCTTCCCAGACCTGAGGCGAGCAAGGCGGCAAGGCAGGGAAAGAGAGGGCTGTGGTCAGACAAAACAGCCGTGCCCAAAGGACCCCACTCGGGGCCTCTCAAACTGAGATCAGTCATCCATCTTCCAGCGGGAGCTTCCTGACAGCATTCTCATTGTCCAGGACAACTTCTCTAGCCATCAAAACAGGCCACTTGCCCACGGGGTCCAACAACCCTCAAATTTGGGAAACTCAAGAAAAATTTCAGATAGATGGCAAAAATACAAGCTTAAAAGAAAAGCCAAGACATTGGAGTTAAAGTATTCATGTCCTCTCAGAGACCAGCTTATTCTTAGTGGAAAATAAAGTACAGTATTCTGGGTCACCTTTCAGTATGATAAATCTCACCTCACCACCCCCCTTGCTGTTTTATTAGATTGATTTTTTTTCCCAGCAGCAATCCCCCTAAAATAGCAATACCTCTGTTAAATGTCTCTAACAGTAGCCTTTTACATAACATGCAAATTGTGTGAGAGATATCAAATAGAAAGAAAAGGGGGAACAGAGGAGCAGAAAGGGGCAAACGCGGCTGATGTGGACCTGGTCCTGTTATTCAGCCAGGGCAGGTCTCCATTTCCTCAACTGCACGGGGCCATATTTTTCTGGTTGCACGGAAAGTTAGCAGCCCTAGTACTGCAAGATTGCCAACCAAATAAACAATCACAGGCATTCGTCTCCAGCTCCCTTGGAAGTCGAACAGTGCTCCCACCCCACCTCGCAAAAACCGGCACAGCGGAATGTCTCTCTTTTCCATCCGGCCGATGAAACCTTTTTTTTTAGACAAACAGGATTGTTTGGGGAATGAAAGGGGTAAGGGGGGTGGGGGTGGGGGACGGATGTTGGAAGTGGAATGGAAATAACAAAAAACAAATGCCTACTTACTGTGTGATACTCTTGGGGAGGGGAGGGGGGTCAGAGCAGATTCAAGCCAATTTACAGAGGAGGACAACCCGGAGTCCTCCCTCCTCGCCCGAGCTTGTGGTGCTGAAAGGACAGCGCCTGGCGTGCGTCTGGATGGGGAGCTTCTGAGAGCAGGCGCGAGTGAGCAAGCGAGTGGGGAAGAGCTCCTGGCAGCTGCCTGCCTGCTCCTGGCCCGCTCGCGCCCCCTCCCACAGGGGAACGGGCGCCCACACCATCTGTCATCTGGCACCACCTGCTGTTTCTCATGCATGGCCACAACCACTGCTCAGGACCGACCGGTTGCAAGAATGTAGGGGATAGCCTGAGCGGGTGGGAAGGATTCGGGCCCCAAAATAATAATAATTAATACACACCATGTAGCAAGCCACCCTTGAGTCTTTCCACGAAACGGGGAAGGCGGGGTGCATTCATGAGGAGAAGTGGCCACCTCCTAAGGCCTTCCGGAGCAAAATGATCAAACAGAACAGCTCACAATTTACACTGGTTCTGACCGGTGGCCGGGGCCACACGGTTCCAGTCCCTGCCCCATGATATCACGTCCCTCATTTGGCAAATGGGATTTCTAATAGTCCCTCAGAGTGAGGTTACTGTGAAGTGTGAATGAGGTAACACAGGGGAAACATTTAGCTCAGAGCTAGGCACATGGCAAGTCGTTCAAAACCGTAAACTCCTATTCTCACTGTTGCGCAGGGATCCTACACGTTGGCTAAGTCCGGGCATCTGAGAGAGGGCCTGGGTCTGGGTCCGGAACTCTGACCCTGGGCCGCCAAAGGCTGTATTCAGTGCTGCCAATTATTTGACCTCCAGGGTGGTATGTGGAGTCGCAGAGGTAGAAGACCTGATGTCAGCTCTTTCAAATGCTAGCTGGGAAAATCGTGAACGTTCTTTAGTCACTCGTTAAGCCCCTCTGTCTTAACTCTGATGTAAGAATAATAACACCTACCCTTCAGAGACGTCATGCATATGAAAAGAGTTTGCGCTGAAGCAAACTTCGTTTAGCTCAGGAACAATGCTGAGTGGCTGGATTGTTACATCCTTGCGAACGGCTCTCACACTCCCTTCAAATCCGCTGGGAAAGACTGTCAGGGCTGGTCTTCTCCCATGCTGCAGTGTGGGTTATGATGTACCTAGTGAGGTCCGGCTCTCTTGGCATGTTGAATGGTTCCCCTTCCACTTTCCAAAGTAAAACGTTTTGTGTAATCGTTTGATCTCCCAAGCTAGGGCTCATATGCTGTACACACAATGTATCAACTAACAGGCAAGAGATAAGCATACAGCCTATTTGTATTGTTCTGTAAAGAAATGGATTGGGACGTCGATGTGTGTGTAAAAAGAGAAGGGTGCTTCTAAGGCAAGAAAGACCACTTCAGGGCTGAACGAGGAAGTATTGATAGCAACATCTGTAGAAATGAGACAGGTGTTCTCATAATGTCAGTTCTCCAATCTCCCCTTCCTGAGACCTAGATGATTTTCAGGTACAAGTGTCCACTAAGGAAAACGCAGCCAGTTGCAAGCGCTGGTGCTTGCTATTCTTATTGTTGCCTCCAAAGAAAAAGAAAATCCCTTTGACATGCACTGTGATTGATTCACAAGCAAAAGTCACACCTTTAATAACTCTAAGACAAAGACCCTGAAGGTTTCCTGAGATGCAGGAGAAGTGCCTGTCTGAGAGCAATGAGAAAGCCAGGCTTACTAACACAAGAGGAGAGAGGTTGCCGAAAGAAACGGAAGGCCAGTGTGATAGGGAAGAGGCTGTGACTGGAAAATGAATACAAGATGTGCATAATATACTATTAATCTCCTCTTGTGTTCTTTAAATGTGTTTCAGTGTTGAAATTAAAAGTGATAATATTTCTGATGGGATGTTCAATGAATGTGGGCATACAAATAAGGTGCTTACAGCATAAAAGGGCAAGGATAAAGGGACCAATATGGTGGTAATTGTTCCTATATTCCACGTAAAGTGGTAAAATATTGATCCCGTAGGAAGCTGTGGAAAGTTAAGCATGCCCACTGTGCTCCTAGCATAAGCAAACCATACAAAGAGCTGTAGTGCCACTAATGTCACTAACCGCACATGTGAAAAAACCTTGGAATGACAAGTGTTCAAGTGTTTTATAATACATATTTATGAATTTATTGCTGTCATTTTGTGTGTGTGTATATTTACCACAAGAAAAAGGTGATACATTAACATTTAAAATTTTTAATTTCAGTCAGGAAAATGGAAGCATTAGAATAAACACACACACGCACACAGAATGAACAACCAGAAAGCAAATAATGAAACGGCCCACTCACCTCTCAACAGAACTCTGACTTTAAATGCAAACAGATGTGCTAAAAGCAGAGGGAAAGATGACTACAATATATGCTGTCAATAATAAACTTACCTTAAACACAGATAATACATAAAATTAAATTGTAAGACCACTGTCATTCATTTTATCCTGATTCATAGCAACCCTAGGACAGAATAGAACTGTTCATAGAGTTTCCAAGGCTGTAATCTTTATGGAAGCAGAAGGCCACATTTGTCTCCCTAGGGAGCATTTGATGGGTTTGAACCGCCAACCTTCTGTGCCACGAGGGCTCCTTATAATCAATATAAGAAGGTTAAAAATAAAGGTCTAGAATACTTCCATCAGCATGGCAAGCTAGACAGACAGGATCTCTACATCAAAGACACAGGAAATGTGATGGAACTCACTCACTGACACTGAACTGATTCAGATTCACAGCAACCTGGTAGGACAGGTAGAACTGCCTCTGTGTGTTTCTAAGACTGTAACTCTTACAATTTTAGAAAACCTCTTCTTTCTTGCTCAGAGCACTTGGTGGTTTTAAACTGTTAGCTTTGCAGTTAGCAGCCTGCAACTACTATGGCTCCTATGTGATGAAACAAATATAGACAAAAATCTTGGAACCCTCACCTTCAGAAGAAAGGATAGAGAGATGAATACCCAAAGGGAAAACAAACCTGCAGGACAGAAAATAGGACCCAGAGATAGCAACTTATAATGAAGAAAATTAAAAGTAAACAGAGGAAAGAGTATAGTTACAGAACTTTCGAATGGAGAAATCAAGTAGATTTCAAATTTGGGAGAAATTAGTAAATTACAGGGTAGACTCAAAGAAAATGAACAAACCTCATCAGAATAAAGAAGAGGAAATTTTTAAAGATTTAATAAACATGACAACAGCAGCAGTGACAAACATGACAGGAAAATGCACAAAGTGAACACAGCATAGATAATGGTGTGTAATATAGAAACACTATAAAAAACACAGCAATGAATTCATACTTGTCAAAATTTCAAATTTAATGTAATGGATTAAATGCACAATCAAAAGACAGAATGTAACAGGATGATACAAAGCAGAGACCGTCAAAATGCTGCCTCCAAGAAACACACCTTAGAGGTAAAGAACAGATGAAAAACCAAATAATGGAAAAATATATCATGCTAATATCAATTTTTAAAAAGCAGAAATGGCAATATTAATTTCTTATAAAGTACACTTTAAGACAAACTCTAGCATAATAGAATTGTGAAAGGGTCCACTGAAGAAAAGGACATAACCATAATAAATACCTATGCATCCAATGAATGACCCTTACAATACATTAATCAAACACTTTCAGAAATGAAGAGAGAAACTGACAACTCAACAATAATTTGAGACTTTAATACACCACTTTCCATTACTAATAGAACTAGAAAGAAGCTCAACAAAGATAGAAGAACTAAACAACACAATCAACCAACTTGGCCTCATACACACAGAGAGAACACTCCCCTCAGCAACAACACAGTGCATACTCTTTTCTAGTACACAGGGAACTTTCTTCAGAACAGACCATATGCTCAGCAACAAAGTCATCCTGAATAAGATTTAAAATATGGTGATATTACAAACTATCTTTTCGGATCACAATGCCATAAAACTAGAAATCACCAAGAGAAAGATCAAGAGGGGGGAATCAAATACATAAATATTGAATAACACCCCGCTCAAAAACTTTTGAGTAATGGAAGAAAATCAAATGAAAATGAAAACACCGCATACCAAAACCTTATGGATACAGCAAAACAGTGTTTAGAAGCCAATTTATAGCAATAAATGTGCACATAAGAATAGAACAAAAATGAACACCTTAACTCAACATCTCAAACAATTAGAAAAAGAGTCACAAGGTAAGCCTCTAGCCACCAGAAGAAAAGAAATAATAATAATTAGAGCAGACACAAATGAAACTAGAGTATAGAAAAGCAATAGAATCAACAAGACAGGGAGTTGGTTTTTTGAAAGGAATAATAAAATACAAAAACCACTGGCAAATCTAAAAAAGGGAAAAAAAGAAATGCAAATAACATGAAAAAGATATTGAATGTATAATGTCATAACAGAACTAATGAAACTCAAAAAGTTTCTCCCTCAATGCAAGAA